CACAGACGCCAACAATGCCAACTTGACCAATCACAAGACACAACAATGATAACAGGCCTCCCATAACAATTGTCTGGTCTTGGTACCTCAGTTTGGACCGTTCTATGGGCCTAAACCACGCAATGTTTTGGTCACCTACACGAGAGTATTGCCTCACGTGAATCTAGAGTACTGTTATTACTCCTGACGAAGCTCCTCCTCCTGCAGCTGTCGCCACTATCGCTCCAATTATCTATTTTCGTCCAGGAATCTCTCTCTCTCTCTCCGTCAGTATCACCTCCCTCAGTACTATCACCGTCTGCCCTCTATCACCGTCAGCCGGCAGGTAACTACACAACAGATGCGAACAATAACAGTGTACACGTGATGCTGTGACAACACGTGCGGGTCGTGTGTGTGTGTGAAGGAAGGATAAGTAATAAAATCAATCTCTCTCTAAAAACCCAGCAGTTCCTCACTTGACTCCCTCTCGAGACGTCCTCCAACTATCACCCACCTGCTCGCTCCTCTTCACCAACCAACCATCCCTCTCTCCTTCATGACTAACAAACCTTAAAACTGCACCATAATCTCTTCATACCTTACAAAAGAGTAGAAGGTCAGGCCGTGTTAGAGTTATCGTGGCACTGACGAGAGAGAGATTAGGGTGATCTTATGATAAAGGTGAGACCCAGGACGACAACCGTAATACCTGGATGAGTTATGTCAGTCTTGTGTCCTGGTGCACGATGACGTCAGCCCCTCCACCCACCCACTACTACAGTATACCACTATCTTTCCTCCGCTGTTTCCTCTTACTCCACGTCTTACCCCTAGCTCTCGTCTCCCCTTTCTTCTCCCACTCCCCATAGGTTCCTCCTAGTCCTTCTCTTACTTCTCTCCTCTCCCCCCCCTTAGCTTGCCTTTCCTACCTTTCCTTCTCCTCCCCTTAAGTTCCTCCGAGTCTTTCTCCTCCTCTTCTACCTAACTCTCCTCACCCTTTCCTCCTTGCTCTTCTCTCCTTCTTCACTAGTATTCCTCTCTTCCTCTTCCACTAAGCTCTCCTCTTCTCCCCACACCTCCCCATCACACATTTCTACCACAACTCATAACCCAAACAATAAACTTACACGTCGTACACAAACACCCTAATGTTCAGCACCGAGTCAACACCTGCCTTGGTTGTGTGAGTCAGTACTATAAGTCGCTCCTGTAATTCATCACCTGTAATAATAACACCTATGGCGCTCCCCTATGATATAAGGTCTTGGTTTCACTGATTCCTGTTAATTGAATTTACTCTGATAGCTGGCCAAAATATTGTCCCTAAACTGTTGATGCTGTGAGAGATAAAGCGATGGGTTTTAATATATGATCGGTCACATGTTCCAGTGTGCGACCGAGGAAGGAGGGAGGGAGGGAAGGAGGGAGGAAAGAGGGATAAAGTACAGCAGAGAGAGAGAGAGAGAGAGGGTAGCAGTGGATAGCGGCCTGTTTGACACACTTAATATACAGATCATATCAACTTATCTAAGATGCCTCGCCACGCCCCTCACCACAACACCCTTCCCCTCCCCTCAACCTTCCCCCTCCCTCCCTCCCCTCCCCTCCTCGACAACTATCTTCAACATGTGACCTAAACGCTGGACACTGGACTTTTAACTCACATCTTAAGATACCAAGGATTATCGCCAGACTCTTCTTTTATCTTAGGTAAGAGTCTCTGAAGATGACCCCAAGACTCTCTCTTTCCTGTGTTCCTATTCTCTCTCTCTCTCTCTCTTCCCTCTCTCTTTCCTGTGTTCCTATTCTCTCTCTCTCTCTTCCCTCTCTCTTTCCTGTGCTCCTATTCTCTCTCTCTCTCTTGTGTCCCTCTTCCCTCCCCCTTTCTCTCATACGCAACCAATGTACTTACCTGGCGGGGTCGTGTGTTGCCCCATACAGAGAGGGTGAGGGGGGATGGGGTGAGGATTCTCGTGTGTTAGGTAACTGAGGTGTATCGCTCGGTTGACGGGTCGACTCGTGAGTGAACCCAAGATGACCATCCATCCCCTCACGTGACGCGAACCTGAGAACACACACACTTACAGTACATGTTCAGAGACAACACACTTCAGGTACACCCACAAGTACAGCCCAGGTATTACGTCACCTGAATATTAGACACCCCAGTTTATTTCACCTGATGATTAAACACATTATATATATAAAGACAAAGTTCATATTAATTACTTGTATAAAAATGCACTTCAAAATATAAAAACATTCTTACAAAGAGCTACATATAACTATTAATGCCTCAATGGAAGTTTATTTACATTGTACAAGTCATCAAGGTGTGTGAATACCTGTTCCCCGTGGCCAGGTGAGGGCTGGGGTCAGGCCTGATATCTGAGCCGGGTGCCGCGAGGTCTACCGTGGCCAGCTACCGTGTTTACAAACCAGTGTCACTCACCCACGGAAAACACACACACACACACACACACACAAACACACACACACACACACGAACTTAAAATCAATAACACTTCAGGCAGTAAGCAAGAGAGCCTGGGTGAGAGAGTCGACTTGTTGTGGTTGTTAGATCTATCACTGACCCCTCTGCCACCACCCCAGTAACCCCCTTCCCCTCAAACGCCTCCAGTGACCCCTCAAACGACCCAGTGACCACCCTCCTCCTCAGAGCCTGCATTTCCACCTGGTGACACACGTAACCCTCCCTCCTGCTATCACCCATCATCTTCTTGAAAAACTTAAGATAACTGAAGGACCCCCCGCGACCACCAACAGTTGCCCCGGGACCCCTCACCTGCTGGGCCACAGGTCAACAGGTGCAGCTTGCAGAGGGACACAGATTAACACAGGGAACTAAAGTGTAACCGTGACACACAACTTGACTTCACTTTAGGTTTTCATACAAATTTTGGTCAAACTCAATAAACCCAGAGACAAGTTGACGACTGGTGTTGGTGTTGACCCCTGACACACGGGGCTACAGTTGTGCTCCTCAAACACTGACTGACTGACTGATTAACTGACTGACTGACTGACTGTAGCACAAATCAACCCAACAGTTCAACACGATAACCAGAGAGGTACAACACTTCATTACTCTCTTCAAAATCACAGTGATGAACAAAGTCGTTTCAGGATTATTGATATAACCTAAAGACTTAACACAAGTAGTAATGACAGTGGACAGACAGACAGCAGTGTGTGTTAGGGTCTCTTACTGCCCCACTCACACTCAGGAATGGTCTCTCTTACTGCCCCACTCACACTCAGGAATGGTCTCTCTTACTGCCCCACTCACACTCAGGAATGGTCTCTCTTACTGCCCCACTCACACTCAGGAATGGTCTCTCTTACTGCCCCACTCACACTCAGGAATGGTCTCTCTTACTGCCCCACTCACACTCAGGAATGGTCTCTTACTGCCCCACTCACACTCAGGAATGGTCTCTCTTACTGCCCCACTCACACTCAGGAATGGTCACAATGTTTTAGGTTTTGATAACAATGAAAATGTGGATTCTCAACATTCCTGCCGTCTATTACGCAATGTTTCACCTCCTGCTTGTAGCCTTGAGCATGACATACCTATGATGTCATGTATAAATAGATTAAGGGGAGGAAGAGGAGGGTGAGGAGAAGAGGGGTGAGGAGGAGGGGAGAAGGGGTGGGGGGGGGGAGAAGGGATGAGGAGGAAGAAGAGGGGTGAGGAGAAGGGGAGGAGGAAGAAGCGGGGAAGGAGTAAATCTAACAATATGAGCAGTGACAACGCCTTAGATACCCACACACACACACCGCCCTGAAATCTCTTGTCCTTTATCGCTAATGATGCTCCAACTACTCAACTGCCTGGAGATAAAGACCTGAGTGAATTATACAAGGTAATCACTCCCCAGGTTGGCGGCGCCTTTGATGACTTGTTTACCTCACAGATTACAACAACAACATCTAGGAGCAAGAGTGAGGCACATGTTTTGATCACACACACACACACACACACACACACACACACACTAACGAAGATAAATGTTCTGAATATCACCCGAGTCTAACCTAACCTAACCAAATCAACCGTATACACGACCACATAGAACATTAAATATTCCTGTATCAATATCCGAACACCCAAATAGAAACATACAGTGGAACCTCTATTTAACGGACTATGAACCTCTATTTAACGGACTATGAACCTCTATTTAACGGACTATGAGCCTCTATTTAACGGACTATGAGCCTCTATTTAACGGACTATGAACCTATTTAACGGACTATGAACCTCTATTTAACGGACTGTGAACCTCCACTTTACGGACTATGAACCTCTATTTAACGGACTATGAACCTCTATTTAGCGGAATATGAACCTCTATTTAATGGACTATGAACCTCTATTTAGCGGACTGTATAGATAGGCAAATCCATAATATCGAGGGTTGTTAGATATGAAATCCTCAATCTAACCTGTCATCCATCTCCACCACCTGTTATCCATCTCCACCACCTTGTCATCCATCTCCACCACCTTGTCATCCATCTCCACCAACTTGTCATCCATCTCCACCACTTGTCATCCATCTCCACCACCGGTCATCCATCACCACCTTGTCATCCATCTCCACCACCTTGTCATCCATCTCCACCACCTTGTCATCCATCTCCACCACCTGTCATCCATCTCCACCACCTGTCATCCATCTCCACCACCTTGTCATCCATCTCCACCACCTGTCATCCATCTCCACCACCTGTCATCCATCTCCACCACCTTGTCATCCATCTCCACCACCTAGTCATCCATCTCCACCACCTGTCATCCATTTCCACCACCTAGTCATCCATCTCCACCACCTTGTCATCCATCTCCACCACCTGTCATCCATCTCCACCACCTGTCATCCATCTCCACCACCTGTCATCCATCTCCACCACCTTGTCATCCATCTCCACCACCTTGTCATCCATCTTAACGTACAACAACATCAATTTAAGTATTGTGCATTCGACAGGTGTTCAAAGTGGTGGTGCAGAACGAGTTGATGTGCTGGTTCGTGCTGCGTCGCTACCAAGAGTTCCTGACGCTGCAGGAGATCATCAAGGCCAAGGTAAGGAGGACCCCCCGCCCTCACCCCCTCCAGGATGATCTGGGGTGAGGCGGAAGGGATATATTCTTTCTCATTCTTATTTATTGGTGATAGTATAGTGCTAAAATGTTATGGTTAATGGGTGTGTGGAGTGTGTTTTGATGAGTATGTGAAGTGTGTTAAGTGTGTTTGTTTGTCCTCAGGTGCGTGACGCGGGGATGAGTCTGCCGCCCCAGGAGTTAGCTGAGCGATACGATCTCAACAACTTCATCCAGGCCATCATGATTGACCCGAGAATCGTCACGTTGTAAGTCACCTTCACTCTTCTCTCCGTCTCTGTCTTAACAGGGTATTTAGCTCAAGGTTAAGTGTCTCGTCTGGGTGTAGTACAGTAACGAGTAGAGGTGTCTCGTCTGGGTGTAGTACAGTAACGAGTAGAGGTGTCTCGTCTGGGTGTAGTACAGTAACGAGTAGAGGTGTCTCGTCTGGGTGTAGTACAGTGACGAGTAGGGATATAGAAGGACTTTTGTTTGTGAGTGAACGAGTTATCCTGTTCGCCCTCCACCACCACAAACTATACCCATAAATGCGCCTTTATCGCGTAGTAATTTATGAATGATACATCTACCTTGCCCCTAACAGGTGTACTCTGCTGGACCACTAAACACGCCACTCTCTTTCCTAAACACAGAGCTGAAGTTCGGGAGTTCCTACAGCTAGATCGCTTCAGGGCGTCGACGAGTAGTAGCAGCGGGTCGAGCAGCACACCCTCCACCCCTTCCGTCCTCCTAGACCCTCGCCTCCTATTGCCCCCCGGCGCCCCAGCCCCCGCCAGGTAGGTACCCGTACATGTTGACTATAAACAAGATAACACGGTGTTCCAAGAGTCAGTTTACTCCCCTCCTCACACCTGGCCCCTAGTGTTATTAAGGGACCCGATACTGCTGCCTTTCACTACGCCGATCCTTCTGCTGGTAAAGTGAAGAGGTTAAATAAACTGACTCTGGGAACATCCTGTACTGGGTTGTGTTAACTCTTCCTCAATACTATATGAGAGGGAGCCATCACACTTGGTTGTATCACCGTTGTGTCCTCCTCCTACAGGAAGCCGCTCGCTACCAAGACTAAAACTCAAGATAAAGATAAAGATAAAGAAAAATCGGCCGGTTTCGTCAAGACCCACAAGTCACAGAGCAGCATCGACCTCGGCTGTACTAAAAAGTCGTAAGTACTCGAGTGATTTTCTTGACCTTCACACGACACACAACTCACCATCACACAATAATGAGAGATGGTTTCTGCTGACCACTGTAACACAACGCCATAAAAAATCACCAAACACTATAAATCTTACCCAATTTACACGTTATTCAAGTCAAGTATCTGCAGGTGACATTATTTATCTATTAAGTAAATATATTAAAGCATGTGACATATACAGTCCAGCCTTCACTAGAGGACTAATATTGACCTCGGTGTCGTCACTCTCAGGTTGACGCCGCATGACTTCGAGTTCCTGAGTGTGGTGGGGAAGGGCAGCTTCGGGCGGGTCATGTTGGCCAGGTACCTCGACGACGACAAAGTCTACGCCGTCAAGGTGAGTCTCTCAGGGAGCCTCTGTACACGATCTCACCTCCGCCATCAACTAGAATAATGAATGAATAATTAATCAAAGACTCACCCCAAAATACTTAACCTTGAAGTTATAAAACATATATCAATAAGTCACGCCAGGGAACACCTAGGTAGACTTGTTCTGCGGTATTTACTCTCAACACATGAAGATTAGGCACACCAGCTTACTTCACCTGATGATTAAACACCCCCCAGGTAGTGAGATAATCCGGGGAGGGGGGTGTTAATCTTTACGTGATCCCTACACTCTCAACTCCTCACTGGCTCCTCCTCCTCCACGCAGGTACTAAACAAAAAACTGATCGTGAGAAGAAACGAGACGGCACACGTGTTAAGCGAGAGGTCTGTGTTGATCAAGATGCTCAACCATCCTTACCTGGTACAGCTCCACTTCGCCTTCACCACCGCCCACAAGATATTCTTCGTCCTGGACTACATCAACGGCGGTGAGGTGAGCTACAACACTTGTCTTGTCTTGTCTACACTCACTCATACATATAAATGAATAATAACTCTAATAGTCATAAAATTGATCAATAATAACTATGTGTTCTCCTCCGGCAGTTGTTCTTCCACCTACAACGAGAGAGGGTGTTCACGGAGGCGAGGGCAAGGTTCTACGCGGCTGAGATCTGCTGCGCCCTCTCTTACATGCACAGCCAGGTAACACCACCACCCTCCTGCCGTAGTGTGAACCTTATGATACATACAGTAGTCTTGAAACCGTCCGCCTGTGCTGGTCTTGTTTACCTCGCGTTTAGTTCTGGATTCATTTTCATTGCCTACTGCACTTATTACTGTTCTCACTCCTTTTTATCTTTCTTGACTCTGTTTATTATCCTCTTCCCTTCTAACCTTAACATTCTACTTCAATCTTGTTATCGTCGTTCTCATGTTCCTCGTTATCCTTCTACTGCCGTATACCGCCAACACCCACCACTAACCTAACTTAACTTAACCTCGGGGTGTTGCAGGGGATCGTGTACCGAGACCTCAAGCCAGAGAACATCCTGCTGGACGCTCAGGGCCACGTCGTGCTCACAGACTTCGGGCTGTGTAAAGAAGGGCTCCAGAATTCCTCCTCCAAGACCGCCACCTTCTGCGGGACTCCGGAGTACCTCGCCCCGGAGATTCTCAAGAAACAGGTGAGGGAGAGCATAAGGGTTGATAAGTCTGCCAATATCAACCTGATAGGAACATTATCTTAACAGAGGAAAACCAACGATCAAGTGTGTTTTTCTGGCCACTGTCTCACCTTCGATTAGTTTGTCTGATAGTGGCTTCAAGGGACGACTCGGTTATCACCTGTTTCATGTTAATAACGATAAAAACAATATTGTCACCTAAAAATATCCTTAACCCAATTCCCGGAAGTGTCTCTAACATTATCATCTATACTGTCTAAGTTTACATCTCGTGTCGTCGTTCCTTCTTCTAACATTTGTCGTGTTCAGCCGTACTCTCGGGCCGTGGACTGGTGGACGCTGGGCGCTGTGCTCTACGAGATGTTGTACGGGCTGCCTCCCTTCTACTCCCGCGACACCCCCACCATGTACGACGCTATACTCAACAAGCCCCTCAAACTGAAGAGCACCGTCACCCAGAAGGCCAGAGACATACTGCAAGGGGTGAGTTACTCGACGTGTTAGCCTCCTCACAGTACATGTATCTGACGAGCGACCAGTCAACAACACTCACACCAGTCCCTACAACACAACATTAACAGTCAATATTCAGTGAGGTAGACATACTGTAAGGATTGTGTAGGGCAGCGACTGACCCTCTCCTCCTCCCACAGCTGCTGCAGAAGGACCCCAGAGACAGGTTGGGCGCCAGTATCCGTGACGGCGACGATGTCAAGAACCAAGACTTCTTCAAGGCCATAAACTGGGACCTGGTGGCCAGGCGGGGGATCGCGCCGCCCTTCATCCCCACCGTGGTGAGAGAAACATCTAACTTAATCTAACTAAACACATGATAATTTACAAACACAGAAAGAGTTGCATCCTGTCCTCATATGACTGTTATTCCTTGAAGGGGTTTAATGTATTGGTTTTACTGTTTTTACTAAGTTGAAATTAACCACTTCACTTAACCTCCTCAACCTATGTAACCTGACCCGTTGATCTTGCCCGCACAGAACGGTCGGTCAGACACCAGCAACGTGGACCCCATGTTCACGAAGGAGGCGGTGATGGGTCAGTCCCCAGCCTCCCCCAGCGGCCTCTCCGCCTCCGTCCAGGCCGTCGACCACGTCTTCCAGGGCTTCAGCTACGCCCCGCCCCTTGAAATTGAAGCACGATGAAGTACCTAACATGGAGTGTTTGTGGTTCAGTGTACAGCGGCCTCCTGAGAGAATCCCCGAAGCCCTGAGTGTATCCCCTGAGAGTGTCCTGAGGTCCTAGGTGCGTCCCGACGTCAACAAGCAACGACACAATGTAAGCCACTTGAGGTCTCAGCTCTCAGGATCCCTCAACATAGTCCATCGCGTGGCAGCTCACCGTGACACCGAGACGACAGTGTTATATACCATAGTGGGTCAGAGGCAGCAAAGGACACAGCGAACATGTTTTAAGAAGACACTCACGAGACACTTAATAAAATATAATGTTTACTGAAGCTCTCGACGACATTTCTTAAAGGAAAATTCAAAAATAGTATTCGAGGTGTTCACAGACTTAGCGTGTACTTAAGTGATGCCAAGTGCTGGGAGAAGTGGCGAGAGTTTAGTGAGGGCGCAAAGTGGTGGTGGTGACGAGGCTCCTGAGTGTGGGAGGTGGTGGTGACGAGGCTCCTGAGTGTGGGAGGTGGTGATGACGGGGCTCCTGAGTGTGGGAGGTGGTGATGACGAGGCTCCTGAGTGTGGGAGGTGGTGATGACGTGTTGTTGGTGGGAGGGAGAGAGGTGTGGTCACAATAAGCAGTCAAAGAAAGGTGTGACCACAATGAACAGTCAAGGAGATGTGACCACAATGAACAAAATCGAGCTACAAACCACTGCCTTAAACTACACTTCAAAGCATGGAATAAATAAACCGACAAACAAACACACAAACAAACAAACACACAAACAAACAAACACAAACAAACGCTCAAGTATACACACCACCGTAAATAATTCACTGGAAAAAAAAAACATTCTGGGAATATTCTCATCAACACACACACGACCAGATGTTCCTTGTGTTGATGCTCACTATACAAGCCTTAAATAGTGTCAGTGTTGAAGTATTTATTGCTGCAGTGTTGTGTTGCAGACAGGTAGTGAGGGGGTGGGGGGGGGGAGAGTCGCTGCCGCCATTGTTTCTGTGATATAAACATTAAGGATCACATGAACATTAGTCACCCCCTTGTTTATTTTTACCACCCTTTGATTAAACAACCTAACCTGACCTGACCTGACCTAACCTAATCTAAGCTAACCTAACAACCACCTGACTTATTTTAACCTAACATCATAATCACCTGACTTACCTGACTTAATCTAACCGAACCTAACCACCTGAGTTAACCTAATCAAACATAACCTAAAGTAACCTTACCTAAACTAATTAATCTAACCTAACCTAACCCCCCTCCCCCAGGTAACGTTAGGAAGTTTAATCAGCAGGTAAAATAAACTTAGGGGTGTTAATCTTCAGGTGCTCCCAAACATACACTGTCCTGGGCGTGTGGTCAGGCGTTGTGTGCACCAGACAACAGTAATGCACATCTGCCTAATTTAATGTGATAAACCTATGTATATGGCGAAGTAATTCCTATGTATATAAAGAACAGTGTCCGATAATAAAGTATTTTTAAAGACAGCTTGTGTAATTTACTTCCCCATACACACACACAAAAACACCTGTCCTACACCAATACACACACACACACACAAACACCTGTCCTACACCAACACACACACACACACACAAACACCTGTCCTACACCAATACACACACACACACAAAAAAACACCTGTCCTACACCAATACAGACACAGACACAGTTACCGAGAGGTCAACTAGTAACTCCATACAAGACGAGGTTTTCCCCGTACCGCGTCACCAGACAGACACCCCCATGACACAACATAACATTAAATGATCGTACCGAGTCTTATACGACCTCACATACATAAGTCTTATACGACCCTTGACAGAGACTGATAACTGGGTTCATTGTTTAGAAGGAAAAAAAGAAGTATTGTTAGTTTTGTATCGTGTAATAAAACGGATAAAACAAAAGAACATCAATTAATAGTCTTCATGCCTGAGGGTTGGCGACCACGGCCCACCACAACACACACTAACTGACCTACGGTAATCTCATGGTTTATCTTAAGGTATACGTAACTTAATTTAGTATCTCAAACGATCCTATATTGATAACCTAGTTCACTGCCGTTTCCTCTAAAGTGCTCGTTATATCACGCTAAAATTACCAAGTCGATGAAACACAACAGAACACAACTTCTTAACTCACAACACATTATAGTAAACATATAATTAAAATAATCATAATAATAATTCCTGCCCAAAAATAGTGATAGCAAGGTTAATGTTTATTTCAATACCGTGTGTGTGTGTGTGTGTGTGTGTGTGTGTGTGTGTGTGTGTGTGTGTGTGTGTGTGTGTGTGTGTGTGTGTGTGTGTGTGTGTGTGTGTGTGTGTGTGTGTGTGTGTGTGTGTGTGTGTGTGTGTGTGTGTGTGTGTGTGTGTGTGTCAGTCACTGCACACTACACCAGCAGGTTACATAACATCAGCCTCGTAACTTATCACCAATCGCCTCTAATCCCCTGTAAGATCTGATCCAGCTTATAGGTTAGTTTCAAGGTCTGTGTGTGTGTGTGTGTGTGTGTGTAAAGGAGATGTAAATAGTATGTCTGTGTGTACATAGTAATACAGTCGTGTGCATGTGTAGGGCGGGTGTGTCAACTGTAGTATGTACCGTCACGCTGTAGCACCCACCCCCCAACCCACTACAGACTACTGTTCCACCTAACGGGGAGAAGTCAAACCACTGTCCACCACAACCTGTCACAGATATGATGACGTAACTAATCTGGGAATTATAAACGCTTGAACATGTTGTTATTACAGAACTTGGCGATTATTAAGTGTAATGACCTTCAGGACCAACACAGTACAGTACAGTAATGTGTAATAATCTCATACAGTACTGTAGGTATATGACAAGCAACAGTGGTGGGTATACAGACATACAGGCTACAGCTTCTAGTTGCAGTAGTGATACACTGTAGCCTAGAGCACACATACAGGCTACAGTTAATAATGATTACCTAATTCGGCGCTGCGGAATGATGTATAAAAGTTCCACAGACATCTTGGAGAGGAAAGCTTTTTAAAAATCAAATCAATCAAATTTAAAGTCTGGATGTGGCCCCGATACCGGTTAAATAAGTTAGGGTGCCTAATTTGCTGGTGAAATACACTGAGGTGCCTTATCTTCAGGTGAAACAATCTGGTGTGGCTAATCTTCACATGAAATATGCTGAGGTGACTAGACTCAACGGGACGAAGTAACGGCATTAACAGAGACAGAACGTAACAAGGACCTGGGTGTATATGTTGACAATGAACTGAAGTTCTCGAGCCATTGTGAGAAGAAGATGAATCAAGCAACTAAACCAGTAAGTCTTATAAGAAGGTCGTGCATGTACTGTAGACGGTCATCCCTCGTAACGCTCTTCAAAAGTGAGGCGCTTCTCCGTCTGGAGTACTGTGACCCCGTCTGGTTCCCGAGATATGGTACAGTCTGGCAGTTGATTGAAAATGTCTAAAGGAGGGCCACCTGACTGGTGCCTGCACTGTGGTAGCTATTGTTCATAAATAAATACAACCCGCAGGTCACTCTACCGTCCTTAACAAAGAAGGAAAACCCATGGCTGTCTATAACTATCTTTAGCCACCAACAGCCGCAGTAAACAACACAGTAGATAACCAAAGGTGTTATAAAACCATCACCCGTGACCGACCCTGTTGAAGCAGGAGTCATTACAGCCACAAATATATTACTACTACTGCTACTACATTTAACTAATCACTATTAATAATTAAATCTAATTACTATTATTAATACTATCAATACATCTAATTAATTAACTAACTACATATAAGTAACTACTACTACTACTACTGCTAACTACTTCTAAGTGCTACTACTATTTCACTAACTGCTTGTTACCTAAATAACTACCTACTTAATTATCTAACGGCAAAAAATATCTCCCTAACTACCTACTTAACCAATTTATCCACCTAACCAAAATAAACTAACTTAAACTAACAAATTAATTATAACAAAGTAACCAACTTCCGAACTATAATTAACTTAACCAAAATAGCTGAATATAATATACTAAACATCCATCTATCTTGATCTTCACTTAATCGGTCAATCCAACAATTAATTAGTTGATGGATTGCTTGTCTATCAAAATATTACTCCGATTTTTACTGGTCACTCACACCAAACTAAATTTACCCTAGTATACCCTGTAAGGAGTATACGTTTTCTCTAAGGACACGTGAGAATGTAAAGACAAGACCGACTTCGCTATTATATCACTGACAGCGTTGTTATTAGAGAGATACAGCGACAGTGTTAAGTATTCAATGGCTAGTTACATCTTGGTACTGATATTATTGGAGAAAAAATATCAGTGTACAAACGAGTATTTTAAGTAAGTTGTAATTAAAATGTCAAGTGGCGAATAACACGAGCCAGCTACTTAAATGATATTGCCTTAGCTGTTTACAATTGCTTTATACAGTACTTTCATCGTCTACGTATATTGGAAATGGTATACCTGCATGGTCTATGTACCTGCGTTGTCTATACACATGTTGAACTGAGTATGAAGTGACACGAACGTTCAGCCTCCCATCACGACATACAGTATATAACTAGTACGGTGACAAGTTCTTACACACAAGTTTTACCCAGATAGCTCCATTTTCTACTACTACACTGGATTTTCTGGCTGGGGTGTGTCAGTAAGCACTCTTCTCTCACGTAATCCAGGAGAGTTATGTATGCTATGTTCTCAAACCAAACTACGTCAGAGTACAGCAGGACAGAAAGAGTAACGTTAAGAACAATAACTACATCAACACTTGATATTATTATTACTACTACTACTGTAACGTACAATAATTATTAAAGTAACAAGACTAATCATGGTACAAGAAAAAATTTCGTGGAATGAAAGAAATGAAAATATTGTACTGTATATTTATTCAATTATTATAAACATCTACCAAACTACTACAACTAACACCATAAAATATATCAACCAAATACTCCTACTTGTAGAATATTAGACTCACATACAGGAAAATTCTAACTGATTGCTGTTAGTCACTAATATTTACTTTGAACAAGACAACTCGACATTATTAAAATATCTACGAGTACATTGTGTTCCCAACTCAGGTCCCCGACACTGTCAAGGAACTGCTGTGGTCATCTAGTAGGGGTGTTGACGGAGCTCGGTCTCACGAACACCGGGTCAACGTGTCTAGGGAGGCCTGGCACCTGCGGCACGAACCCCAGGTAGTGAAGGAGGAGGAAGGACACCCACGCCCCCCGCGCCTTACTGCGTGTCGCCAGCACCACCTTCCCCACCGGGTTTAACACTAACTCTGAGCCAGACTCAACCACCGCCTTCAAAGGAATTTCTAATAAAGGTTTTGGTTCTTGATGGCGGCCATGAGGAGGAAGGTAAGGGTTGTCCATGGAGGAGATGGGCGGCGGGGAGCGTAGGTAGTGGATCCCCCACTTGTGGTGAGGACGGGTAATGGCGTTATAATTATTTTCTCCGTTTCTCAGTCCATAAGGCGAAGACATGTATGCATTAGAATATACAGCCGTTTGTCTGTTGTCATAACTGTTGAAATCCCTGTTAGTTATTCGCTGTTTATTATTATTAGTTTTGTGGTTATTCCTTATTGATCGAACACCGCCAAATATGGACCCAGGAGTCAGCTTGTAAACTAATGTTCTCTTACCCTGATAAAGGTCCGTTGTGAGCACGGCACTCATGTCACCTTGGCTCCCATCATGCATGGGAAACCGCTCATGATCTGCGATGATATCTAACATTTGTTCTATGTACTCTTCACTGAGTGACCAGGAAGATTCATTCTTTTTCGGAGGTCCTCTGCCACCTGTCGAAGACTTATGACGGGTGGGTGCTGATGGCGTGGCACCAGCGAGGGAAGTACTGCGGCTGGTGGTGGGCATAACGAAGTTGCTAGGTAAGTCATGACTGCCAGGATGTGTGACAGTGTCTTGGCACTGACTAACTCCCATCATTGTAACCAGCAACATGAAGGTGAAAGCCATTGCTGAAAGACATTTAAGAAATATTAGACATAGGGGAAATTCATGTTTTTGCATTTTTCAGTAATCTAAAGATAATTAGACACTGACGAGGGAAACTTTAGTGGCACGTACACAGACACAAGACATATATGCTGCATCCCCACCCCTCTGTGTTCCCAGCCATCACCCCACGACGGACAAGACGCACCTCACCAACCCTCACACATCACACACGCTAGACCCAGTCCCTTCTCTCTCAAAATGCACCATGAACGATATTTACCTCTTAAATAAAAAAAAGCAAAAACCCAATATAAAAAAACATGTATTTTACTACCACAACATATAACGTCTGGATGGTAACGTCACCTACTGTACATACTAAGTACCACCACCGGATGTCTCAAGTAACGGAACACTGGGGACCCCGTCAGTGGTGATGGCTGAGGACAGTATGGGGGGGAGGGGGGCTCACACGCTCCTGTCTCTGTGTATACCCGCACTGTCTAGGTACATGGTTTGTATACCTGTACGGTGTAAGTAAATAGTATACCTGCATTGACTACATACGAGTCTGAATCAATGAAAACCTGTAAGATGGTTTTACTGGTGAGGCTCTATGGAGATTAGGTGGTGAGAGAGTTGAAAGAAGGGGAGTAAGAGGAGTGGTAGTGAGTGTGAGAGGAGTAAAGAGGAGTGGTAGTGAATGTGAGAGGAGTAAAGAGGAGTGGTAGTGAGTGTGAGAGGAGTAAAGAGGAGTGGTAGTGAGTGTGAGAGGAGTAAAGAGGAGTGGTAGTGAGTGTGAGAGGAGTAAAGAGGAGTGTTAGTGAGTGTGAGAGGAGTAAAGAGGAGTGGTAGTGAGTGTGAGAGGAGTAAAGAGGAGTGGTAGTGAGTGAGTGTGTTGAGGAGAGGGGCGGTTACCTGGTACAGTAATCACGGGTCGCTGGTTGCTACAACTCACTCCCTCACGTCATCCTCGCCAGGGGTCGCCGCCACCTACCTCCCTCAAACTGCAATTAAAAATAATATATTAAACTTAACATAATTCTACCCCCCTTAGAATATTAAAACACATATTACTTTATTCTCTTTATAAATATCCTTCATAAAAGATCTCAGACAACAACAAAAATAAGAATAAAACAGGAAGGAACATCTGCTGTGAAAACTCGTGGATCAGTGTGAGGGATCGACAAGCTGCTGTACATACCACCACCACTACACTAACCTGTTCCCCCCATCACTTTAAACACTTCCATAGACCAATACCGCTCACTGGAATCACTACTTATCGAATGAAAGTAATCTCCCCCTCAGTACCTCCTCACCATGCTGGGGAGTAAGGTATAGTCTCCCCAGTCACTCCCTACCACCGCCAGCAGGTTATAAAATACAGTTAGTTACCTAGTCTCTACCCCTGGCAGTGATAGCGCCACCTATACCGGTACAGTGACTACTAGGCCGCCTCACTTACTCAGCAACACGTTAACTCCCAGCCACGACCCACACAACCTTCCTCCCACCCATGACCCACACAACCTTCCTCCCGCCCACGATTCATACGACCTCCCACACACTATCCACACGACCTCCCACCCACACAACCTTCCTCCCACCCACGATTCATACGACCTCCCACCCACACAACCTTCCTCCCACCCACGATTCATACGACCTCCCACACACTATCCACGCGACCTTCCTCCCACCCATGACCCAGACGATCTCCCACCCACACGACCTTCCACCCACCCATGACCCAGACGACCTCCCACCCACACGACCTTCCTCCCACCCACGATTCGATAAATGTCAACACAAACCTCATCACAATAACCAGCCTGTAGAATCGATAAGAAGCATTAAGACATCGAATAAATATACCCTGGCTGACGTAGTAGTGTGTTACCTGGCAACGGTACATAAACAGCGTGTGTGTCTGGCGCGGGGGAGGAACGCTGTATATACTGTTACGCTCACGATGGGGAGAAACTGTTCACGGTACAAATGGTATGTGAGGGTAGCACGTACACATTGGTTAAGATGTTGTAATCAAAACACACACACACACACACACACACACACACACACACACACACACACACACACACACACACACACACACACACACACACACACACACACACACACACACACACACACACACACACACACACACACACACACACGCACACACACACACACACACACCTGAGAACTCATTACATTACCGTTAATTAATTACAGTAAAACAAACGGTAAATAATTGGTAACGACCTCATGTGCTACTCTCTCTGGGTAAAACAAAACACGAAGACACAGACAGAGAGACAGACACCGACAGACAGAGAGACAGACACACACAGACACACACACCTGAGCGATAAATCAAGTCATTTTCCGGCCGAATTATTTAAAACAAAAACGAAACAAAAAAAACGCGATAACTCAAGTCATTTTCCGGCCGAATTATTTCCTCACAGTTCTTGTTGTGTTGAAATGAATACAAACATCGTCATGGTTTCTCTCGTCTGCTCTCTCTCACTCTTAATGGCCAATCATCGCCTCGTCATTCCCTATCAACAACCAATCACAGCCCGGTCTCTATCTCACCAACCAATCACCTTCCAGTCTCTTTCTATCAACAACCAATCACCTCTCAGTCTCTTTCTATCAACAACCAATCACAGCCCAGTCTCTCTTTCTCAACAACCAATCACCTCTCAGTCTCTCTCTTTCAAAACCAATCACTTCCCAGTTTCTCTTTTTCAACAACCAATCAGCTCCCAGTCTCTTTCTATCAACAACCAATCACCTCCCAGTATCTCTCTCAACAAACCAATCACCTCCCAGTCTCTATCTCAACAACCAATCACCTCACAGTATCTCTCTCACCAGCCAATCACCGCCCAGTCGCCGTCAGCTGAGAATTCCACAACATCTTCCTCACAGTTAAGTAAATATACACAGGTCCTCAGCCGTGACTTATATGATAAACAATCTCCTTAGACACGTTCTAATAGCTAATACTAGGAGGAGGAGGAGGAGGAGGAGGAAGTTGAGAGAGGGAAGAAGAGGAAAGGAAGAGTGAGAGGGAAGAGGAGAGGACAGGTAAGAAGAGGAGGAGGAGGAGGAGGAGGAGGACCCAGTACCAGACTAACTTAAGCAGCTACATTAAGTATACTAACAAGATAAAATACGACCCAGAAGTGACTTAATATACGACCTGGAAGTGACCTAAGATACGACCTGTAAGTGGCCTAAGATACGACTAGGAAGTGACCTACGATACGACCTGTAAGTGGCCTAAGATACGACTCGGAAGTGACCTACGATACGACCTGTAAGTGGCCTAAGATACGACTAGGAAGTGACCTACGATACGACCTGTAAGTGGCCTAAGATACGACTCGGAAGTGACCTATGATACGACCTGTAAGTGGCCTAAGATACGATTCGGAAGTGACATATCGAGAGGAGTGATGCCAACAACAGAACGGAGTGAAAGTGGAGTGAAATTTGCCCCCAGGTCGTTGTAAAGTATATAGCTATTGTCTTAATGTATCCAAGGTGGTACTACTTCAACGATCAACAGGGTCTTCGAGCACCTGGTGGAACACTGAGCACCTGGTGGAACACTGAACACCCGATGGAACAATGAACACCTAACTTCTGTAATAAAGGTTAATTACACGATTTGTACACATGCGGGTGTATGTAAAAGGGAAAACAGACAGACAGATAGACAGTAAATTTGTGTCTGAAAATATACCACAAATACCAAAAAACATAATCTTTTTCAGTGAACATTTCTATAACTCACAGAGAGGTCAGCTTTCTTCACCATCACCCCCCAAGATGGTGACCGAAACACAAGCGTACACATAGAATCACAGAACACACCACCGCCACGAAGTAACCTATACAATACTGCAGCTCAGTAAATAGAAATGGTGAGAGAATGTTCGATCAATCACAGTTGGCTTCGAACACTCCTCCACCACCAGTCACCATTACCTCTAGGTCCCCTCCCCTCACCACCCTCACCCTCCTTCGTGATACACAAATATCAAGTGTGGTAAAGGCAGCGTCTCAAAACTCTCTCTCTCTCTCTCTCTCTCTCTCTCTCTCTCTCTCTCTCTCTCTCTCTCTCTCTCTCTCTCTCTCAACACATAAGAGTACAGTATACGTATATCAATAAACCTCTAAAATTAAACCACACTAAACCTATACTACCTCTATACAGCATCTTAAACCTGTTACTGAACTAAAATCCTTTTGCTAATAAAACACACAGGCTATACTACACGTGTTATAATCTATAGTACAGTCTTATTTAATATAGTATTAGTCAAATGTTTAGAAGAAGCAAAAAAAAAAGGGGGGGGGAGGGTCTCTTAGTATGTGGTATAAATCATCTCTCAGTAGATCATGTCAGCTAGAGTAAGATTTCCCAACCTAACCGAACCTATCCCAACCCAACCTAACCTACTTGACCCTACCCTAAACTAACCCAACCTAACCCTACCCAACCCCCTTAAGGTAGAATTAAGGTAATAAATCTTCAAATACAAACAGCCTGAGTATCTAATCTTCACGCTATCCGCTTCTCCCTTACTAACAAGCTACTGTACATGAAGACATAAACCATCTCTCACCTTAACTTATCAAGCAGAGATATCACCATCAATGGACACTTGTATATCGCAGAACAAGAGCTGTCATTGGTGGCCGGCTCTCGTGTAACACCTACTGCCGAGGGTTACCAACTGACTCACCACCACTGCTGGAATATCTGGCTGGATCAAACTCTTCATAGAAAACGGACTATGGACCAACAGAAAACGGACTCTGGGCCAATAGAAAACGGAGTCTGGACCCAATAAGATGCTTCAGTAGACAGGTGGTTGTCTGCGTGTTGATCTTCACAGTTCATGCTTGGGTCTGGTTCTGTAATAATAATAGTTTCTATCATATACTTGACCTAAATTAACATACAAGTATAGAATAATTGGTCATTGTTAATATACTTGTTACTGTGTGTGTGTGTGTGTGTGTGTGTGTAAATAGAATACTTTCACGCACATCACATAAAAAATCTTTCTCAAATAAGAAAAAAAGAAGAAAATCTATAAAGACCGCAACACCACAATGACACAGCAAGTATAGTATTCTTTCCCTGCATTTGGTTACGTTACTACCACCACCTCACGCCCTGCCAGTCACCACCACCACCACCTCACGCCCTGCCAGTCACCACCACCACCTTACGCCCTGCCTGTCACCACCACCACCACCACCTCGACATTGCCCTGCCAGTCACCACCACCTGAGCGCCCTGCCAGTCACCACCACCACACTACCTTCCAGTGCTGCCCTGCCAGTCATTTCACCACCACCACCACGCCCTGCCAGTCACCACCACCACCTCACGCCCTGCCAGTCACCACCACCACCTCACGCCCTGCCAGTCACCACCACCACCTCACGCCCTGCCAGTCACCACCACCACCCCGTGCCACGATCACTACTGTACTGTGCTTCCCATGGATGTATACAGCGCATACTTCATGTCCTCGTGATAACTGGACTATACACACCACTCACCGCGTCAGGCTCGGGGCAGTGGTACCGTGGGAACTAACGACAGGTGTCTCTTAACTCAGGAGTCCACCCACACTAATTACTCCACGGCGTATATATTATGAGGAACATGTAAAAAAATCTTACATCAGATAAACATTCCGGGTGTCTAGTTAACATCAGTACCCTTTGTGTGTGTGTGTGTGTGTGTGTGTATTACCTGGTCTGTACATTACCTGGTCTGTATACTAAGGTAACCTGCATTTAAAACTACTATAAAAAAGGGTAGCCAATCACATGACTAAATGAAACTGTGTTATTGTTGTCGTGATTGATTGTGGCACTTAAGGGGAGAGTATTTACTATTATATCACGTACAATCACGAACAATAGCCCCCCCCCCACACAAGTCTTGATCCTCACTACAGCCAGGTAACGAGTGCTGGACTTGTAGGAATGCAAACATGGACTTTTTTTTTTTAGATAGATTCAAGGACAACTAAACTAACTTAAACTGTGGTGACTGGTTATGACTGAACTGTGTGTGTGTGTGTGTGTGTGTGTGTGTGACTAAAACTGTGTTGACGGGTTAGTGACTGAACCTGTGAGGTGTGTGTGTGCGTGTGTGTGACTCAAAACTGTGTTGACGGGGTTAGTGACTGAACTGTGAGTGTGTGTGTGACTAAACGTGTTGACGGGTTAGGTGACTGAACTGTGTGTGTGTGTGTGTGTGTGTGTGTGTGTGTGACTAAAACTGTGTTGACGGGTTAGTGACCGAACTCGTGAGTGTGGTTAAGACTGTGTTGACGGGTTAGTGAACTGTGAGTGTGTGTGACTAAACTGTGTTGACGGGGTTAGTGACTGAACCGTGGAGTGTGGTTAAGACTGTGTTGACGGGTTAGTGACTGAACTGTGAGTGTGGTTAAGACTGGAAGTTGACGGGTTATGACTGAACCAGAGTGTGGTTAAGACTGTGTTGACGGGTTAGTGACTGAACTGTGGTGTGTGTGGTTACGACCGCGTTGACGGGTTAGTGACTGAACTGTGAGTGTGGTTAAGACTGTGTTGACGGGTTAGTGACTGAACCGTGAGTGTGGTTAAGACCGTGTTGACGGGTTAGTGACTGAACTGTGAGTGTGGTTAAGTGAATTGTGTTGACGGGTTAGTGACTGAACTCGTGAGGGTTAAGACTGTGTTGACGGGTTAGTGACTGAACTGTGAGTGTGGTTAAGACTGTGCTGACGGTTAGTGACCGGAACTGTGAGTGTGGTTAAGACTGTGTTGACGGGTTAGTGACTGAACTGTGAGTGTGGTTAAGACTGTGTTGACGGGTTAGTGACTGAACTGTGAGTGTGGTTAAGACTGTGTTGACGGGTTAGTGACTGAACTGTGAGTGTGGTTAAGACTGTGTTGACGGGTTAGTGACTGAACTGTGAGTGTGGTTAAGACTGTGTTGACGGGTTAGTGACTGAACTGTGAGTGTGGTTAAGACTGTGTTGACGGGTTAGTGACTGAACTGTGTGTGTGGTTAAGACTGTGTTGACGGGTTAGTGACTGAACTGTGAGTGTGGTTAAGACTGTGTTGACGGGTTAGTGACTGAACTGTGAGTGTGGTTAAGACTGTGTTGGTTAAGACTGTGTTGACGGGTTAGTGACTGAACTGTGTGTGTGGTTAAGACTGTGTTGACGGGTTAGTGACTGAACTGTGAGTGTGGTTAAGACTGTGTTGACGGGTTAGTGACTGAACTGTGAGTGTGGTTAAGACTGTGTTGACGGGTTAGTGACTGAACTGTGAGTGTGGTTAAGACTGTGTTGACGGGTTAGTGACTGAACTGTGAGTGTGGTTAAGACTGTGTTGACGGGTTAGTGACTGAACTGTGAGTGTGGTTAAGACTGTGTTGACGGGTTAGTGACTGAACTGTGTGTGTGGTTAAGACTGTGTTGACGGGTTAGTTAGACTGAACTGTGTGTGTGGTTAAGACTGTGTTGACGGGTTAGTGACTGAACTGTGAGTGTGGTTAAGACTGTGTTGACGGGTTAGTGACTGAACTGTGAGTGTGGTTAAGACTGTGTTGACGGGTTAGTGACTGAACTGTGAGTGTGGTTAAGACTGTGTTGACGGGTTAGTGACTGAACTGTGAGTGTGGTTAAGACTGTGTTGACGGGTTAGTGACTGAACTGTGAGTGTGGTTAAGACTGTGTTGACGGGTTAGTGACTGAACTGTGAGTGTGGTTAAGACTTCGCTCTTGGCCTCGAACTTAATAAGAATTACAGGAGGGAACGAAGAGTCACCAGTGTATATAGACAGTTCCCATCTTTGGCACGATGACACAGACCCCTCTCTCCTGGCTGACTGTGTGTGTGTGTGTGTGTGTGTGTGTGTGTGTGTGTGTGTGTGTGTGTGTGTGTGTGTGTGTGTGTGTGTGTGTGTGTGTGTGTGTGTGTGTGTGTGTGTGTGTGTGTGTGAATTTAGTGTTTTGTCTTCAAGATGCTTTTCCATGAAACTTACATTTATTATTAACCCTAAGAGGATGATGATTTAAACTTAGTCCTCAAGGGTTAAACCATCGCCCTCACTACAGCCTGAGACAACAGAAAGAATAAAACGAGAAAGATGACTATCAGTTCTGACACACACACACGCACACACACGCACACACACACACACCAGTCTACTTTCTTGTGTTATCTTTAACTGCATCAACTAACTGTTTACCTTTGTCTGTGAACCTGTACTGTCTGTATGATGGCTCTATGTGAACCTGTATGATGATTTGACTGACTAACCATCAGTTACCATTAATGTGGGTCAGGTGAGGGTGACCCAGTAAACACGACCTTGCTCTCACTGTTTATATCTTCACTGTATCATTACTAATACGACAACCAAAAGTTTTAAGCTGAAGTGCTACTTGTTAATTATTTTATTGTTGCTTCGGTCCGTGACAAGTTACAACGTGGAATCGTGGCACCTGTGTGGGTGGGTGGCGGGGAGGGGGAGTTAAGGGGGGGGCGTCACAATGTGTGGGGGACAGTAGTGAGGGGCGGCGGCCCCGGCCTCACTCATCAATAGTCAGTTGTCGGAACAGGTGTGCATCCTCTGGCTCCCCTCATGACCTACCATGAACACTTTCCTGCAGGTGCTGCTGCAGGTGGTCATAGCAGGGTGCTGGTGCTCACCTGTGTGGGGCAAGGTAGTGTTGGGCACCAGACTCAGGAACAGATTCATGATAAGTGAGCTAGCAGTGATGGAGCCTCCGTTACCTCAACACAGGTCCTCCAACACCACCTCCCGTAAGTGTTGCCTCTCACTCACCTCCCTGTACGTCAACAACAAGCTAAAGGCAAAGTTCTGAATATTTCTGTGAATAATTTCAGTTATTCAACTTTCCTCAACACTACCCGAGTATTTTGTCCTCGAGATGTAACAACACATATTAAGATGAGTCGTAGCCAACACCACAATGAATGAGTAAACAACACAATTTAACTTAACCACACCACACCACCAACAACTGTTACCAGCACCCAAAAAGTTTCTTCAGCTACACCATGACAACACACCAAACGTCGCCCGTGGTAGGTTAGGTTAGCACCAGGGTGAGGGTCTAGTCTACACGACGGGGGTTCTGAGAAACACTGAGTCACGTGGGAGGGTGGTGGTGGTGGTGGTGATAATAATGCTGTAGTTGTGGTTGCGATGATGTGGTTGTGGTGATGACGTGGTTGTGATGATGACGTGGTTGTGGTGATGACGTGGTTGTGGTGGTGATGTGATTGTGATGATGACGTGGTTGTGGTGATGACGTGGTTGTGGTGATGACGTGGTTGTGGTGGTGAAGACAGGCCTAATATAGTGGTGAATGATCTAGAAGTGAGAATATTCAAGGTAATAACCAACGCTGTATGGGCCATCTGCTCTATACAGTGTTGCCATAGTAACCGTGAATGTAATATTACTGTATATAATGAACTAACGTCTCTGATAAGGAATTATAGTGTAAGATATAAACTAATATAATGAAGTTTGTGTAGTATACGGTATACTGGAGTGTGTTATGTATACTATTTATGTATTTTTTCCTGCATTTCAAGTTTTTTTCGATATAATGCAGAGTATTCAGAATTACAAACAAACACACACACACACACACACACACACACGAAATAAACATCCACAAACAATTAAGCTCGACAAACAACACAACACACCAACAAATAAATAAAAAATAATAAACAAACACACAAACGAACAAACAAACACACACACACAGACAAATCCTTCACATAACCAATCATTCCTGTAATAAAAGATGTCTGTAATGTTTCAATAAGGTTCCCCCTCTTGCGTCACACCCCCCCACCTCTACCCCCCCCCCACCTCTTGCGTCACACAGCCCCCCCCCACCTCTTGCGTCACACAGCCCCCCTCTTGCGTCCACACCAGCCCCTCAGCCCTCTCATCACACACCCCTCCTCGTCCACACAGCCCCCCCACCTCTTGCGTCACAGCCCCCCCTTGCGTCACACTCCAGCCCCCCCCACCAACACCAACAAACAAGCGTCTTAACAGTGAACCTGAATAAATATTATGTATGTTTATTTGTATACTGATCAACAAGTTGTTCTTCTACGACTTTTCCTCCACACTATAATGATGACAGTAAGACTTTTAACATCAAACTAAGTTAATGTAATGAATGTGTTGATGTTACGGACGGTTTATATAAGGAAACATCCACTTAACGGTTTGGGTGGAGATGAGATTATGTTATATCGAGGGGCTCATTAGATATAAACCTCCATTTAGCGGATTTTATGGAGAGAGATGTCCGTTATAAGGAGGTTTTACTGTATTCATATAAAACGTAAGACAAATTAAAAACAACAGCTAGTGTGTGTGTGTGTGTGTGTGTGTGTGTGTGTGTGTGTGTGTGTGTGTGTGCTACAGATCAAGCCTTGCCGTGTCTAGAAATATACACGACAGTCATGAATTATTTACACCAGACTGTCTTTTCGCGTGACCTCTCTGTAACCTGGATATTACAGTCTTTTGAATTATTCTTTCATCCACTCACTGTATTTCACAGCTGTATTCCTGTACTGTGAACCGGAAACTTGTTTATTTATGCCTGTAAATTCGTTCCGACTTTCACCACCTCACTGTAAACCGGAAAATTAAATGTGACTTGGAAGAATAAACATCCCGGCTTATTTCACCTGATGATCAAATACCTTAGGGCTACCTGGGAGGAGGGGTAGGTTAGGTTAGGTTAGGTTAGCAAGGAGCAAAACCACACAACGGCTCTGTTAGTACATATTTGTTTGATCAATCGAGCCAAGGACTGCGGCTCTACTGTTGCTATACTGACACGGCCTCTGCGATACCGCGATGCTCTGCCCTGGTACTGCTATGTAAGGCGTTGATACTGCTATGTAAGGTGGTGGTACTGCTATGTAAGTCGTGATGGTACTGCTGTATAAGGTGGTGGTACTGCTGTATAAGGTGGTGGTACTGCTGTATAAGGTGGTGGTACTGCTGTATAAGGTGGTGGTACTGCTATGTAAGGCGTTGATACTGCTATGTAAGGTGGTGGTACTGCTATGTAAGTCGTGATGGTACTGCTGTATAAGGTGGTGGTACTGCTGTATAAGGTGGTGGTACTGCTATATGTATAAGGGTGGTACTGCTGTACTGCTGTATAAGGTGGTGGTACTGCTGTATAAGGTGGTGGTACTGCTATGTAAGTCGTGGTGGTACTGCTGTATGCTGTATGGGTGGTGGTACTGCTATGTAAGTCGTGGTGGTACTGCTGTATAAGGTGGTGGTACTGCTGTATAAGGTGGTGGTACTGCTATGTAAGTCGTGGTGGTACTGCTGTATAAGGTGGTGGTACTGCTATGTAAGTCGTGGTGGTACTGCTGTATAAGGTGGTGGTACTGCAATGTGGTGGTACTGTACTGCTACATAAGACGTGGTGGTAGGGGCTATCGACCAAACATGACGCAGGAGACAGGATGTGTAAGTGTAACGACGCATCTATAAAACAGCGAAGAGTTCACCCAAGGCCCCTCCTCCGTCGCCACCACCACCACCAGGTTAGGTTAGGTTCCTCCTCCCCCACCACCACCAGGTACAGCACTGCCTAGGATAAGGACCTAAATGACTTCCTTCATCCCTCCTACAAGTAGCTAAAATCGTAGGTTGGAGTGTCAAGACTGGTAACCTATGTACTCCATCTTAACCAAACCAAACCTAACCTAACCACCTAGCCTAACCTAACCCCACCCAGCCACTACTGTGAGAGGAAAGAGAGTCATCAAGTGAACTAACACATCCATTTGACGTCTGTGTGTGTTATTATCACTACAGGTTCTCAAGGACACCGCCAGGGACGTGATGGTATCTGTTGCTTAAGGGGAGTGGAAAGGGGGGGGAGGGAGTAGTCGTCAAGTGAGCACCCCACTGGGAGATGTTGTTTGTGTGTGTGTGTGTGGTGACCCATACACGCCAACATGGTGACCAGCCACCTCATCAATTATTTACGATTCCTCACTCACACACACACACACACACTCGAGATCCCTAGCCCGGGAATTGCTGCTCGACACCACAGCCGCATCCAGCCCATACGTTCACGAATTGATCGCTATAAGAACAGCCCAGTCCCACCCATTGTAAAAATTATCAATAACTTGTAATAAACCAGTGTATTCACTCCCAGTAAATACTACTTCTTGCACTGTCACTATGTTGAAATGCCCTGTAGTCTGAGCTTTTCCCCACCTAGTTATTATATATCTTATTTGTATCGAAACCTATTCCCCAATTATGTAACTGTATATTTTAAGCCTTCTAGCTGCTATGCTCTTTCAATAAACCGTTAATTATTATTATTATTACACACTATACCATGAGTCCCACTTCAGCATAACAAAAACTGTGAGATAGTCCGCTATTAGGAGCACCAGCACTAGTAACATAACATAACATAACATAAGTATTTTATTGTGCCAACAGAGATGAGTAGTAAGCAGGCAGAAGAAGAGGAAGGAGTGACCATGACGAAGCTGGTGGCCGTGAAGGAGTGTAACACCACCCACCACCTGGATGATGGCCACGCTGTCCTCCTCTTCTCCCGGCAAGATCTGTACAGGTGAGAGGCGCCCCTCTACCACCTCCCGCCGTCCTCACTTAAATCGATGTGACGCCCAATTTGTTATTCTTAATTATTTATACATAACATTATTCACATTTTTCATCCTCTATCAATTGAATTATTATCGTTTTTTTTGTTATCATTATTATTACTATTATTTGTTTTTTGTGGGGACGATACAGACAGGTGTAGCAATTAAGGTGTTACTCCAGGAATAGTAATTAAGAGCAGGTAACTCCAAGTGTGGTAATCCTAGGTGTAATAATTAAAGGTATACACCACCCCTGGTCCACTTCTTGTAGGTGCAATAACTTAAATCCTACCCGCCACCCAGAGCTACTGTAGAAGGGGGTGCTCCTCTCCTGCAGATACGAGTGTACACAAACCTTCCAGCCCATCAACCAGGACAGTCACCTGACCCTCACCTGCCAACACTTGCAACTCAAGTTCAACTGTTTCCTCGAGGCGCTCACCGTCACCGTAGACGACCAGACGGACACGTACTGCAGGTAACTCACACCCTCCCACCGCTACAGGACGTCTCAAAATAATACATAACACCGCCATACATTGTCCTCACCTGTGATAGATCTCATACATCAACAAGTGAGGACAATGTTGATGTTGTAATATAAACAGTCACGCGATCTCCACCAAAATTTGTATAGGCTGTGTGTATATCTTTTTTTTTAGACATCCTGTGACCTGACCTAACCTAACCTTTCATAGCAGACTTAGCTAGGACCCTTCCCCTACCCAAGAACAATGCCCTGGTGAAGTTTCATTGTCATCTGTTTGTTGGTGTTCGAGATATCGCGCGGAGACAATAATATCGTGAACACAGGCTGAATCCACTATAGCCAATGCCTTGAGCTTCGTCTCCGGGAGGTGCAACGAGACCATCCCATTTTTTTCCCTTTCCTTTCTGTTCAGCTCTCAAACACAGGTGGTCCCCGCTGCACCTCCAGTACGTTACTGTTGTACTAACACTTAAGATGATCGTGTCGTAAAACTGTTGGGTTGTGGTATAGGAATGACGAGGTGAAGCCAAGGACGGGGAAGGTGGTGGTGGTGCAGTACCGGCGGCTGATGGGCGGGATACACGGAGGCTATGTGTGCACAGTGGTCACCTCCTACCCCGAGACCCCCGCCAACCTCGCCTCCCCCTGCATCACTTGTGGAGACGTGGCCGTCACGGACGAGACGACCCGCTTCAGTGTCCAGCGGATAGTGGGTGGCCTAGCTGCTGAAAAGGTGAGTCATGGTGTAGGTCGTGTCACCTGGGCCAGGGGACGAAGCTGACAGTTAAATACAAAGACTTTCTCCCGGTCACCTCCCACCCACCTACCACATACCCGTACATGACTCATGGTTCTAGAAAGGGTATTTCCGATCTATACTGATGACGGATTGTTAAGTCACATCTGTAAGACGACGTGGCACTCTGAAGCCCCCCCCCCCCCACAAGTTAATGTTTAAAGGAAGAGAATTTCGCCCCATTACATGACACTGGATTACATTAGCATTTCCTCATACTTGTTTGTTATACATTGTCTCATCAAATAATTAGTACGGTATGTATCTTCAACACAACGGCTACAGTGTCATATACTGTCAGCTTAGAGCCAGTAGTCTGTGGCACCAATTCTCTCGATGTAGTACTGTACTTGTGTCAACTTAACGGTTATGAAGTCAATTTACTCCTAATAACAACTGTATGACGAGCCAATGACCAGGTCTCCTCCTAACAGAACGAGTACCCGTGGATGGCGTTTCTGGTGATAGAGGTGAACACGTACGAGTACAGGTGTGGCGGCTCCCTCATCACTAGCACTCTCATCCTCAGCGCCGCCCACTGCTTCTCTGGCTACAACATCAAGTCGATCAAAGTAAGGGGTAACATAAGGGAGAGGGGGGAAGGGAAGGAGGCAGGGAGAAAGAGGAGGAAAGAAAAAGGGATGGAAGAGAACAGAAGATAGGATGATTATGAAAAGAGAGTTTTGGTTTAAGGGGACGTCTGCTACTTAGTAATCTTCCTAAACTGGCCATCTTGTGAAGTGACTGTGTGGCGCAATTTATGACGTTTCTTCAGGTTAATATGTTTGGAAACCTCTCCCTGTATGTGTGTGTGTGTGTGTGTGTGTGTGTGTGTGTGTGTGTGTGTGTGAAGACCTATATACTGTGTTAATGGACCTCCAACAAATCAATGTACAATATCAACTGTGAGGCTCTGCCACGCCCCCGGCAGGTTGGTCTCGGGAAGCTGGATGTAAGCAGCTACTACGAGGACGACGCCCACTGGTACAAGACCACCAAGTACGAGGTCCACCCGCAGTATGACGACGCCAACATCCAAAACGACGTGGCCCTCGTCGTCCTGCCTGACCCTGTTACCTTCACAGACTCCATCCGTCCGCTGTGTCTCCCCGCCACCGACATCGATATGGCCGGCGTCATCGCTACTGGTACGTCTTAGTGGGTGTACCTAAGTTACTCTTTCATTCACGCATTACCAATCAATATTTCATACTACTAGTTGTTATACTAAGTTGAAAGGTATCAACACGCGACAAGGTGGTCACATAACATGGGCAGATACTCAACATGCTGGTTACGACCCTCTGCTTGTGTGTCTTCAGCCAGCGGGTGGGGCGCTGTCATGTATGGAGGCTACGAGGCCAAGGAGCTACAGGAGGTGGAACTTGAGGTGCAGACCAACGCCAACTGTCAGGCAGCCTGGAGGGAAAAGTTCCAGGACCAAACATTCACCCTCCTGTCCTCCCAGTTGTGTGCCATCGCTGATGGCAAGGACACCTGCAGCGGCGATTCCGGCGGACCTCTCATTGTGAAGGTGAGGAACACAGGGGCTTCAGAGGGGTGAGGAGGAGGGAGGATATATGCTTCAGAGAAGGGAGGTGTGCTTCAGAGAGGTCAGGGGAAGGGAGGAGATGTGCTTCAGAGAGGTGAGGAGGAGGGAGGGGTGTGCTTCAGATAGGTAAGGAAACGGCAGAGATGAAAGTTAAGTGTCATGATGGTAAGAAAGTTGAGAAAGTAATATCAAATACCACATAAACCTGTGTTTTCTTTACCCCCTGAAAAAGGTCCTTTAATAATGAATATTTCTCCCCGGGCAGGTTGGAGGTCGATGGGAGGTGCTGGGCATAACCTCCTACGGGTACAAGTGTGCGGTGAAGGACGTCCCGGGGGTCTACACCAGAGTGTCTAAGTATCTCACCTGGATCAACACTTTTATACCTGACGACTACTGCAGTACTGCACCAACAACCAGTGACCCCCTACATCAGTGACCCACTACACACACATACATCAGTGACCCCCTTTATATATACACACACACACACGGACCAGCTGGGGTAAGGAGTTGTGTGGCTGAAGGAACAGAGATGCTTCGCCAAAAGTGAAGCTGCAGCCAACCTTGACACCACCACAGGAGGCCGAAGGATGTGTATGTGTGAAAGGCCAACAACAACAAACTGTGATAACTTACATATGAACGAAAGCAACAAGACAAATAAACCTTCTTATCCATATATATATATATATATTTTCACGTCTCACCTAATGATCTGCAACAAATATATAAATACTGTACCTCACTTTTACGGAGGTCCAATAGTTCCACCTAGATAACATAAACCGGTATAAATGTTTATTTTTCTAGAGCACCAAAACTATATTCTTAAAACGTTTGTTGTTTAGGTATTCGAGCGATAATACAAGCAACGGGAACACGAAGAGAGAGCCTCAGAGAATAAAGATGAACCTGAACCCAAGAGGAAGTGTCGTCTAGTGCACATCATGTATAAGTCATTACGACGACGTTTGTTATTTGTTATGTAATACGTCCCTCCTATAATTACTATAATAAAAATGTATATAGGAACTTGTACAGTTTGTTTCAGTCCTTCATGAGGTGAGACAGACTGACACTCACATCCCAGCCTCACCACAACACACAGATCAACAATTCATTTCATTTTCTTTTTCACACATCTAGTTTTAGTCGCCCATGTAAGTATTTAAATATAGGGACCTGCACCTACCTTCTCTCAGTTGGTGTAACCTGTGACGCCAGGATACGTGTGACGCCAGACTAGGTGTGACGCCAGGCTACATGTGACGCCAGGCTACGTGTTTTCCTTATCCGTCTTCGTCACTAGTCAGCTTATCTGTTGACTATCAAGCACCATCTCCTGACGACAACAACACACTGTCCAGCCTCCACACAAACACACACTCCTCTTGTCATATGAAACTCCATCCCGGCACATGGGAGACCTGCAACACGTTACATGATGAAACCTCTTATAATAAACAACAGAACGAGGACACTAAATCATGGAGCCATTAAATGTGTTGTCTCAGCTACATAATCACAGCGTCAGGGAGCCATTAAATGTGTTGTCTCAGCTACATAATCACAGCGTCAGGGAGCCATTAAATGTGTTGTCTCAGCTACATAATCACAGCGTCAGGGAGCCATTAAATGTGTTGTCTCAGCTACATAATCACAGCGTCAGGGAGCCATTAAATGTGTTGTCTCAGCTACATAATCACAGCGTCAGGGAGCCATTAAATGTGTTGTCTCAGCTACATAATCACAGCGTCAGGGAGCCATTACATGTGTTGTCTCAGCTACATAATCACAGCGTCAGGGAGCCATTACATGTGTTGTCTCAGCTACATAATCACAGCGTCAGGTTAATGTTTGTCTTACTTGTGGTGTCATTAACTTAGCTTATGATTTTTTACAGTCCAGAGCATATGATATTTAAAACAATACATGAATTTCCTGCTATTACTAAATGACTAATGTATATCTTAATTGCTTTCTCGTTAATGTCATAAATGTCATAAATTATTCATGACACAACAAACTTTAGGACAATAGTTTTAAACTCAGAAATATATAAATGAGGAGAGAAGGTGTGACACTTAACATGTACCTATGGCAGTAATTATAGTATACCCTCTAATAAACCCGTTTTCTATGATGCCATACATGACCAGCGGGATACTTTGTCAATAATCGTTTTTATGTTTATGTCGTCGTGTTGTTATGTGTGTGTGTGTGTGTGTGTGTGTGTGTGTGTGTGTGTGTGTGTGTGTGTGTGTGTGTGTGTGTGTGTGTGTGTCGCAAAAGTTCCCAATTAGTCACTCGGATTATTACGCCTCCCGACAAACCTCTTCACCTAGTCTAGTTTTAATTTCTTTCTAACACACCTTTTACCAATACTGTATTTACCTTATTTATCTTATTTCCAATCCTTTATCTATTTCCCAAACAAACAACAATTTTCACTCCTTCAACTTCCTGCCTACGCCTTAATGTCTCATCATAGGGTATTATTTATGCGTTGTCCGAGGCTTTGTATAACTCACAGTGCTTGCCAACTCTCGGTAAAGCACTATTACCTACAAGGGAGGGAGGCAATACCACAGGACCTCTTGGTAACACTGACTATAGAGAAGAGCTGGCCGGGTCTTAGTGGGTTACGTGTGAGGGTCAGAAGGACACTATAGAGAGGTAGAGTCACCTTCACATTTCTCAACACTGAACAAAGTTTCCAGTTCACCGCCCACGACCCCAGCCGGATGTTGAATACTGACGGTGGAGACATGAGGCAATGATCACCACACCACACCACCTTAACGTTACATAATTCCTCCAGGTAACGTTAAGGTATTTAATCATGAGGTGAAATAAACTGTAGGGTCCCGTAATGTTCACGAGTTGCTACTTTCGTCAAGAACCTTTCACACACACACACACACACACACACACACACACACACACACACACACACACACACACACACACACACAGAGCAATATTAAGTCTACACCAAGAAGGTTTTATGACCATCAAGGTTGTTTTACATATTAATTTACGCTCTGGCACCTTCCTAAGGAACTGACGAGCGGCTGAACGATGCAATAAGTTATAGTTTGAAATGTTCACACGTTTGTTGTTATATATATTAGAGAAGTATCGACACTGTGTCAAGTGTCACGGACCTCACACCCGGGGGAAGGAATACGAACATTCCTTACATAAGACGGTTTCCCTGTTTTGAAATCAACCTCGTCTACAATGAATTATCCAAGACTGTGGTGTCGCGGAGCTGCCCTTGGCGGTGTCCTGGAACACTGGATAAACAATGATTCCTGCAGGGCCCCGCTACCCTCCAACACTGAGGTGGGCCGCGTGAAGGTGTTCGTCCACGTCACACACACCAACCTATGGTGGTGTAATGTGGGCGAGGGTTCTGCCTGGTGTAACTTCCGTGTTATTGTGAAGTAGGAGGCCCATACAAGCACTGTTCTCACCATGTACAACACATCCTGTTTACTACATCCTGTTAGCTAAAGTTTAAGGTTTCCAAATATAATTTCTCTCACACTCACTGACTATTGGAAAATACAGTGAATAACTCACACACATTTGCATATTTTATCGACAGTGAATAATATTACCATTAATTCATACAGAATACAGTACAGTATATACGACATACAATAATACAACCATCATCCCTGTGTATTATTACCAGTGTCACTCAGCGGGTGTTACTTACACCTGTGTATAAACTGCAGGTGTAACGTTACCAGTATATGAGATCCTGTAGACTGAGGGGGAGGTGATGTGAGTGTCGACCCCCCCCCTCGGAGGTGTGGCACCTGCCGGGCACTGGCCAGCCTCACCTCACCACTGTGGCCGTACTGGTGTCTACACGTTATCTGAAAATAATTAAATCATTTGTACTTTGAAAACCATAATTATAAAATATTCCAAGAAAACAAAAGAAAAACAAAACAAAACGGTAAGAAACTTAACGACAGGAACTGTGCATGAATAAAATTTACAAGTGTTTTATATCTCATATTTGTTAATTGTTGCTGACAAGTATATTACTATCCTTGTTACCGCTTATGTTGTCGAGGCTCAGTAATTACATTATAACAACAACAAAGAAGAGGTCTTGTCAGAAAAACTTGTACAATTTACTATAAAAAATTCATCCCTTAACAGATCATCAAGAGGCAAATGTTTTGAACTACAGAACCGTGAGAACAAAGTGTCTTGACGCCTTGCCTGTACTCCGGCCAGCTACGGTCACCACTTTACATATTAATGTTTCCCAGAAGCCGCATTGACAGTCACCAGCACCTTCCAGTTACTACTCCCAGTGACGCTACACGCATCACGTTGCACAAAGGTTGGGAAATATCAAGCAGGAATGTTGTTTTATTATACAAGGTAACTGATCAACAACAGTCATCAAGACAGGGGTCATCTTCAACACCGTCAAGAATGTAAGACCTTGCACATCACACTACTCTTAATGTATAATGCATATCAAGTGTACCAATCATCCTCCCTCCTCGACTTCCTCTGAAGATAAACATATCCTTTTGGTTTGTCTGTACCTTGTCTTGGGTGTGGTGTGGTGTGGTGTGGTGTGGTGTGGTGTGGTGTGTGGTGTGGTGTGTGTGGTGTGTGGTGTGGTGTGTGGTGTGTGGTGTGTGTGTGTGGTGTGTGGTGTGGTGTGTGTGTGTGGTGTGTGGTGTGGTGTGGTGTGGTGTGGTGTGGTGTGGTGTGTGGTGTGGTGTGGTGTGGTGTGGCGTGGCGTGTGGTGTGGTGTGGCGTGGCGTGTGGTACTCAGGAGCATGCCCTAAATTCTCATCTAATATAGGTACTGAACCACACGATAACTCTGGCGAGGCGAGATTATAATATCCACTTTACCATGGCCTGTGGGAGTGACACGAGGATGGACACCAACACCACACAGGCACAAACCCATCCACTCCTCATGCACTCCCAACCTCACACACTCCTCCACCTCAGGTACCCTTATTTCACACCCCACACCCACCTCAGGTACTCCCACCTCAGCCTCACGCACCCTTACCTCACACCCCACACCCACCTCAGGCACTCCCACCTCACGCACCCCACCTCACGCACCCTTACCTCACACCCTCCACCTCACGCACCCTTACCTCACACCCCCCACCTCACGCACCCTCCCACCCAACCTCTCTGTGGTCTCGTGTAAAGAATCATGAATACTATAAAACATGACACCGCCACTGGCAGCACAACAAGAGGCAGCAGCAGTGAGAAATGAAAGACTTAAGAATCATAAGACGCCACACCGTCAAAGATAACAACATGTTGCTTCAGTTTTGTAAGTCTCTCGTACGTTCCTATCTGTACACACACACACATACATACATACACAGACACATACATGCACAGCACACATACACACACACATACAGACATACATACACAGCACACATACACACACACAGTTGGTAGAAATAGTCGTCCTTGACCAATAAACATCAACATGGTATAAAATTTACAGACGTGCTAGATAAGAGTGCCACTCCTGAATGTCTGCCTCTCCTCCTCTTCCTCCTGCCTGCCTCCTCTTCCTATTTACCCCGTCCTCCTGCCTGCCTCTCCCTCCTCCTCATTCTGTCTCCCTTACCCCGTCCTCCTGACTGCCTCTCCCTCCTCTTCCCTGTTACCCCGTCCTCCTGCCTGCCTCTCCCCTCCTCTTCCTACCTACCCCGTCCTCCTGCCTGCCTCCTCTTCCCTACCTACCCCGTCCTCCTGCTTGCCTCTCCTCCTCTTCCTACCTACCCCGTCCTCCTGCCCCTCCTCTTCCCCAATCCTCCTGCCTGCCTTCCCTCCCCTACCCCCGTCCTCCTGCCTGATTCTCCCTCCTCTTCCCTACCTACCCCGTCCTCCTGCCTCCCCTCCTCTTCCCTACCTACCCCCGTCCTCCTGCCTGCCTCCTCTTCCCCCTACCCCCGTCCTCCTGCTTGCCTCTCCCTCCTCTTCCTACCTACCCCGTCCTCCTGCCTCTCCTCCTCTTCCTACCTCCCCGTCCTCCTGCCTGCCTCCTCTTCCCTACCCCCAGTCCTCTGCCCTGCCTCCTCTCCCTACCTACCCCGTCCTCCTGCCTGCCTCTCCTCCTCTTCTACCTACCCGTCCTCCTGCCTCTGCCTCCTCTTCTACTACTGCTCTCCTGCCTCTCCCTCCTCTTCCTACCTACCCCGTCCTCCTGCCTGCCTCCTCTTCCCTACCTACCCCGTCCTCCTGCCTGCCTCTCCCTCCTCTTCACCCGTCCTCCTGCCACCTATTCCTACCTACCCCGTCCTCCTGCCTCTGCCTCCTCTTCCTACCCCCGTCCTCCTGCCTTCCTCCTCTTCCTACCTACCCCCCGTCCTCCTGCCTGCCTCTCCCTCCTCTTCCTACATACCCGTCCTCCTGCCTGCCTCCTATTCCTACCTACCCCGTCCTCCTGCCTCTCCCTCCTCCTCCTCATTCTGTCTCCCCCCCCGTCCTCCTGCCTGCCTCTCCCTCTTCCTACCTACCCCGTCCTCCTGCCTGCCTCCTCTTCTACCTACCCCGTCCTCCTGCCTCTCTCCCCTCCCTCTTCCCTACCCGTCCTCCTGCCTCTGCCTCCTCTTCCCTACCTACCCGTCCCCCTGCCTCTGCCTCCTCTTCCCCTACCCCCCGTCCTCCTGCTTCCTCCTGTTCCTACCCCCCGTCTCCTGCTTCTCCCCTCCTGTTCCTACCCCCGTCCTCCTGCCTCTGCCTCGTCTTCCTACCTACCCCGTCCTCCTGCCTGCCTCCTCTTCCCACCTACCCCCGTCCTCCTGCCTGCCTCCTCTTCCTACCTACCCGTCCTCCTGCCTCTCCCTCCTCTTCCTACCTACCCCGTCCTCCTGCCTGCCTCTCCCTCCTCCTGTCTCCCTTACCCCTCCTCCTTCCTGGTTACCTCCCCCACATCTGCATCTTGTCTACATCAACAACAAAACACAGTAATTTCATTCATAATTACCTGTACAAGTGCACGTTCAGGTGTCAAGTTCTGAACACCAAGCCTTCAGTAAACAGGGAGTCAGTGCTGTCTTCACCATCCCAGCTGTACCTAACCTCTCAGGAAACTTAACCTAACCCAACCTGAGGAAACCTAACCCGATCAAACTCAACCCAAGACGCAGAGCTGTATCCTAATCCAGCCACTCAACCAACAGACAATCAACCAGTCCTGTAGGTATGATGTTTTCTGGTTGTTGAAGGAGGAGGAGGAGGAGGAGCGTCTGGGAAACTTTTTATTTCTTGGAATTCAACAACCAAGTCTCAACCTATGGGAGGATATTGGTGGTGGTGGTGGTGGTGGTGGTGGTGGTTGGTGGTTGGTTGGTGGTGGTGGGTGGTTGGTAGTGGTGGTGGTGGTTGGTGGTGGTGGTTGGTGGTGGTGTTGTTGTGGTGATAGTGGTGGTGGCTAGAGCTCCTTTGCTTGCCTTGCCATACGTAAACAAGTTAAGTGGTCCTCCAACACCAGCAGCAGCAGGAGGAGCCAGAGGAGAGCAAGTTATGAGCCGGGAGGAGTGAAGCAAAGCTCATGTAAACACGGTGACGCAAAACGGTGACGCAACATTATAGTGTACACGAGACATAAAAGCTTGATTATGAACCTATTAAAAGTGAACAAGAGACTTATAAAGCGATTATGAACCTATTAAAAATGAACATGAGACTTATAAGCTTGATTATCAACCTCGTAAAAGTGAACATTAATCTCTCTCTCTTCTCCTCCTCTCTCAAACAAAAACTGAAATGAACAGAATAAATTAATAAACCAGGAACTATAAGGACAAACACTAAAGCACCAAAAGAAAATATTTAGACGTCGTACTTAAAGTGGTCGTCCTCACATGGCTAACCCTCGTGCCTCAAGTATTTGGTGACAGTCACGACCTCGAGGAATAGTGACTTAGTGACTCCGCCACTTTACAGTGCTTCTTTCTGGGGGACACTTTAGAGTTCTGCTCCACCTGTCACTGAATACCACTCTTTATTAAATGGTTCTGTCAAGACATTGCGGTAAATTAGCAGTAAAATTATTATAAAATAATGTCTTCACCACTCTCAAGATACACTACACTCACCATACTATCACCACTATATCAACAACACCATATCATTAACACACCAATACCACCACTATTACCAAAACATCACCACGTCAACACTATACCCCATCACCACCACACCTATATGATGTAAATACCCAATTAACCAAACGAGGAGGAGGAGGAGCAGGAGGGTAGGAAGGAGTGGCAGCAGGAGGAGGAGGAGGAGGAGGCGGCGCAGCAGGAGGGTAGGAAGGAGTGGCAGCAGGAGGAGGAGGCGCAGGAGGAGGATAGGAGTGGTGCAGCTTTAACTCTCAAGGTCAGCTTCTCACAGTTAGGTTCAATAGTTCCTCTAATACCATCTGGTCGAGGTGACTTACTTAGGGAAAACTATTGACGGTAAAAACTTAAAACACACGCGCGCGCGCACACACACCAGTTGAGGCTACCTGGCGCTCTCTCAGGAGCAGCCAGGTCAAACCTATTATGTTGGCCCATACCAACTCCTCTACCGACCTCCCCACCGGAATATCAACAAGTTCACGAGAAGTTACTATTTCATTTAGGATGGAACCAGTGTTAAACAGAGGTGAACAGTGGTGAACAGTGCTTAGTCAGGAGAACAACGTAACAGTGTTCCAAGTTGACCTTTCACACAGTGAGGTCCCAGGTACCCAGTGATAACGGCCGTGAGACCCAACTACCAGCGATGTGTTAATCCGTCTACGATAGGAAGGCCTGGAACCACCACTCATATAACACCATCTGTGAGGAATTACTACACCACGTGAGCCCTCATAACAC